ACTGGTATTTTTGTGTATGTACTGGTATTTTTGTGTATGTACTGGTAGTTCCGTGTATGCACTGGTAGTTTTGTGTATGTACTGGTATGTTTGTGTATGTACTGGTATTTTTGTGTATGTACTGGTAGTTTCGTGTATGTAGTGGTAGTTTCATGTATGTACTGGTAGTTTCATGTATGTACTGGTAGTTTCGTGTATGCACTGGTATTTTTGTGTGTGTACTGGTATTTTTGTGTATGTACTGGTAGTTTCATCTATGTACTGGTAGTTTCGTGTATGTACTGGTAGTTTTGTGTATGTACTGGTAGTTTTGTGTATGTAGTGGTAGTTTCATGTATGTACTGGTATTTTTGTGTATGTACTGGTAGTTTCATGTATGTATTTGTATTTTTGTACTGGTAGTTTCGTTAGCGGCTATCCAAGTGCTGCTCTGCCCATAAGCTTCAGCATCCACTGAAGAAGCGATATTAAGCATCTACACAGCAAGAAACAATATTGAGAAAGATCTCTTATAATTAGCTCATAGGGATCTGCTGTAAGCCCCTGCCTTGATCACCGTGCACTTGCCATCCATTGCAATGCAGATGCAATAACTTTCCAGCTCTCCCTGTAGGGTGGTGGCCTGTATTCTTCTCCCAGGTTGTCCCATATGGCTTCACACGCATTTAAAAAAAATGTCTGCAATTGTGGAGTGACCCACACAAGAGCCTGACTGAAGGTGATGGACTCCTCGGTTGCAAGATACCTGTCGCAAATGTGTTATACATTGAGTGAGTATATTGTTTGTTAAGAAATAATATAACATGAGAGGATGTAAGGGCATTCTTAGATTTGACATGCGAGTAACTTGCTGAGGCTGGGTTTTTACCAAGTATTAAATATTAATATTCGCCAGGAGGATCAGGCGATCTTTCGCTTGTGTGCGTCCAATGGTGAGTGACTGTGCTACAGCAAACTGCTTTATAACGTGGGTGCCCAGTTATGGCTGCATGCTAAAGGACCACCTGGTTGCGGTGACTCACACTTTCTCAAGCACCTTCTCTTGCGTGTTTACTGCCTCCGACGGCCTGCTGACTCCTCACTCACTACCTTTGACCTTAGTTTGAATGAATTGTTGTTCTACGATGCTTTACAGCCCATTATAGTGCGCATCAGCAGTTGTTAGATTACTCACTTTCATTGCATTGTTTGGTGTGTTCGGCTAACTGCTACCAGCTAATGGAACTACCAGTACACACTCTAAAGCTGCAACTCAGCACGCGGCTAATCAGCCAGACAGCCTGGTGCATTTCATCTGGTTTTTGGGTGCAAAAATGGCAGTTTAGTCTAGCATGCGTGAAGTGTGAGTCTAGACCGGGGGTTAGCATTCAATCACACAAAACAGAAGTGCTCAATGCAGACACATCTGGCAAACACAACACACCTAATTATATTCATTTTCAATGCTGTTGGGTGGTTTCATTTACTATAAACTAAAACATGCAATGTTAAAATCTTCATCTGCAAAGTAATAAGTTATCAAATGAATGTGGTGCAGTAACACGTACAATATCTCCATCTGAAATGTAGTGGAGTTGAGTTATAAAGCAGCATTAAATAAAAACAGTCAAGTATAGAAGTACCATTACTCATAATGTATAAAGTATAAACATTGTGTGGTGATTACTCGTAATGAATTCTGCATCACTGTGAAATTGATCACAGCTGTAAAGCAAACAAGTTACAAAAAAGACACAGGACGCAAATGGAAAGTTTTGGCATAAGCTTTTAATGTTTTTATTAAGTTTTCTATGTTTTCTCTTTAAACTGAATTTGTTTGCTTTTTTCCAGTAGTTTTGTGATTTTTTTAAATTATTCATCTGGTTTTTATTTATCCTATCGGTAAAGGAGAAGAGTTGCTCAGGTAAATCAGCATTCACAGTCAAACCTTCATACATTTTAACAACAGAACTCTTTTTATAAGTCTTTTTTTCACAAATGCTGTTGAATTATTACAGTTTCACCTTTTTTGTTTTTTACATGTTTCAAAAATAGAAAAGGTAAATAATAAACATTCCATTGAAATATATTTTATACAGTTCTTTATTCTTTTTGTTTTATTTTTCTCTCTTCAGTTTAGTGACAATAAAATGATATCCAGCATCGGTATTTATAGCATAAACCCCATTCATGAGTGGAGGGAAGCCTCTTGTCTCTCTTGTCTCTGTCATCCTTTGTTTCTCTGCCTCTTTCCAGTCGACACACACCAAATATATACCCCTGTATCAACGGACTAATCAACCAATTGGTCAACAGTGAAATGGACCCCAGCATGTCCATTTAAGGACTGTCCAAATAGCTGAATCTGGACTTAAATAAAGCATGATGTGGTTTACAAAAAACGAAAATGGGTAAGAGAAGGCACAGCAAAATGAACATAAGATACAAACAAAAAAGCTGAAATGAGTGGAGATAACGGATTTATTTGACCTGAACAGACTGGTGGAGAGAGTTACGTTTTCCATGACCTCAGCACCCGCGATTCAGTGAAAAGTTGTAAAAAATAAAGAGAAAGATGACCCAAAAATATGCATAGGATATGTTCTGAAATGGTGAGCAAGTGATTTCACAAAAAAAAACACCAAAGCCTGGACACCATGCTGGGAAGCCTCTGGAAAACCATGACTGGACTCATGAAACTGAGCCCGTTTGCCTCCAGAACGTGATCACATCACAGTCTGCTGCCCTGTGAACAGTGGCTCTATGAAGAGTTCCCCTGCCTGCGTGAAAAGAAGCACGAGAATAAAAAAAAGTGAATGAGTGTGTGTCACTGCGTCTTCTAACCTGACAGAGAAAGGAAGAGGGAAAGACGAGAGCCTTTGCTTTTTCCCCCCCACAGAGAGGCTTCCCTTCACATTACCATTCACAATTAGGTTAAGTCAGCATTTTAAAGTTTCCCATGCATGCATTTAGAATTCATCTCCCCAAAAAAATGAATATAAAAACACAAGAACAAGGGATGCAAAAAGAAGCTTCTTCCTCAAAATAACTGAAGGAGGGGGAGGGGAGGAGGAAGAGGAAGAAAGGACAGAGAGAGATAGAGAGCGAGAGGAGAGGTGAGGAGCATGGAAAGGAGAGGAGAGGTTGCGGCAAGAAATGCAGACTGGAGTTTTAGAGCCCAACTTGCTAGATTCAAACTGAAACAGAGAACTATCAAGGTTGATCATGAAAGTTCATTCTTCACCTTGGAGAAATATAGTGTGTCAAAATATGCTTAATTTCACTTACAGGCTTGAATGTATTTAGTCTAAAATGTATGATGTAAGTATCCACACAGCATAGGCTAGCAGAGCTAGGCTAAAAGCTAGCCTTAAGTGAATAGTCATTTGTCAACGGTCTAGGTTAGCTGGACCGTTGACACCGCTCCACTTGCCCACATTGTCTGGATAAACTATGGAGCTAGCCGGAAGGAGGGGGGAGTGAACCGCTGCCCTTCATGCCTTGAAATTTGTTGATGTCACACCAGGTGTTTTATTTTCTGCTCTCAAAGGGAAAACACCGACTCTGACATCACTGATTAGGGGTGTGGCCAGACGTCCGACATTCGTGGAAGTTTTAACCCACAGAGAGCTTTGCAGAAACTATTTCTGACTCGTTAGATGCACCCCCCCACCAATCAGACTGCTCCAGGCTTATTGAAACATTTGTACGATGGCCTCTAAAAGTCCAATCAGCATTGAATGAAGGTGGTGGTGGTGGGGGGGGGGGGATAGGGTGACAGTGGGCAGAGACGCTCCTATGCATCTTGTCCTGATATGTTTGGTCGTCATTTGGGTTTCAAGTAAAGTTGCACTATTAGTTAGCTCAGATGTCAGTCTTCTCACAGGGGTGTGGCTTAGCTCAGTTTGCACAGCATGCTTCCTTTCTTGCACACGAGTAATATATAGACAAACACACACATTCTTGGACACACGTACGCACACGTACGGAACCAAAACCTTAAAAAAAGACCCTATACCATTATTGCTGTGTCCCCACTACACTCCAGTGGAATAATCAAGGTTTCTATTTGACTGTCTAGAACTGCTCAGCCATCACTTCTTCTTCTCCTACTCCTGCCGTGCAGGTCTCTTTTAATGAATAATTTAGGTTAGTTTCTGGAGCAACATGCCTTAGGAAATGTATGGAGGGAGAGGGGTGGATCCAATGTGCCCATATCCCATGAAGCATTGAAGCATCTTAAACAAGACATTGGAGACATTGACAGCTTTACTCTGGCAGCTAAGTGTTCTCAAACCGGGGCACCAGAGGATTGGGGATTTTTCAACCTTTCAATGTCAATAAATCATGATGCAATTGTTGTGCTTCTAAGACCCAGGAGAGTTTTTAACTGAGCCTACGTTGCAAAATGCAGAGTTTACCTGGCAGCAAGGGTCAAATAGCAAACACTATTCTGTGGCATTATGGGAATGGTATGAGCTGGCCTTTTTAGCGCTTGACCCATGCTAAGGAATAAAAGTCAAACTACCTTGGCCTTAGCTGCTTACATTTTCACCCTTGCTTTTTTAATCTGCCTCTGACAAGACTTCCAGCTTTATGGATGGTCAATACATTTGTGTCATATACCTTTAATGCTGCATCACTTTCACAGCCTGTAGGTAGCAACACAAATATGTATGGAAAATTTGGATTGGCAATATTGTGTAATAACATGGCTGGCTCAATTACGTACTGTTTTATTGCTCTAAAACCTTTACGTTTTACATCTACAGTGAGGGGTAAGGCCATAATAGAAGTCACCTTGTAGGCATTCATTCTGCAGAGACAGGTGTATGACCAGGTTAATAGTCTTCTGTCTCGGTTATCTATAATAGCCACATTAGCCCCCCTGACTAAACCCCCCAAACCCCATCTGAGACACATAAACAGTTTTTCTCCAACAGCCTAATACCATGAAGCCTTCAACCCAACTGGCGCATGCATAGGCTATCTTTATGCTCACTGCATGCTTGAAAACAAAAGCATTTATCGATCCATTGTCATAATCTTCATGATCATAATTCATCATAATTGCATGTTTTATGAAATATATATGACATGTAAACAAATGCAGAAGGAAATATAAAACCAAAACGATTCATGAAGGAAGTTGCGTTCACCTTGGTATAGCTACAGTACGGTACATGGTAGGCTATTATTATCATTGACATATCTGAAGCTGTACTTTAAACCTTTAAGAAGACAAGTGATATGAAACATCGGATCTGATTCCTGTCACATACAGTACCACATAGAAAAAGCAGAACACCCTGGAAGCAATGAGACCTAGTGCAGTGTGGAAGGACAGTTGGACACAGTATAGACCAAAATACAGAAAGATTTACTTCCGCGCTTCAAGTAGCGGGATCCACTGAAAGGATCATAATGTTCATTCGAAACTATTATTTGAAAATTTAAACTTTCCTGAAAATACATACTGCAGCATCACGACATTCCACCTCTCGGATTGCTGATACTGTGTATTCCTGAGATAGGCCCCGTCTTCTATTCCAGTTTTGGCCCCATGCAATTTGTCAAGACTCTAGACCCTAGAATGATACAGAGGATAGTGTGTATGTCTGAAAAACTCTCAATGATTTCTTTATGTTGTGGACTGTGACAATATACAGTCATTTTCAACAGAGAATGAATACCAAACAGTACATAATGCACAATGTAGTGCAAACCAAAAGTGGAACCAGACAGGTGATGAAGTATTTTTCAGTCGTGGCCATTCAAGTTATTGGATTCAGTAGCTGCATGCGCTCTTTATAATGTTTATTAATCCTCAAAATACTTAAGCAAAGTGAGTGCACAGCACTGTCCAATTCCGCAATTCATCAAGTGCGCAAAGGACCTTTTCTGCTGTCCTTGGTAATATTGTGTTCTATTGCGCATATGAACCTAAATCAATTTAATGTCGCAGACCCAGCACATCTTGCATGAATTGCCAATTCCAAGAATTCAGTTCAATACAAAGAATGTAGCTTGCAGAAAATGTTGTCCCCTAGCAGCCCAGCAATGTGACAATGGGTACAAAGAAACATTGTGTGAGGGTGCAGTCCACACATCCCAATGGTAGACTATTTTAGCTCAATAGCCCTTATTGAAAAGCGTGAAGTACAGCTGATACACCTTTCTGGCTGATGAGTTTGGCAAAAGCAGTGACAACAGGAGAGTACGGATATGTCTGCCCGTCAAATGTTTGTTTTCTGTCATTCAAGAGCATCAAAGATTAATCAGGGGAACAAGTCATGAACGAACATGTTTTGGTTGGGTGTTTGTTATAGCCCTACTCTATGTCAGCCACAAAATGAATGAACACACATGGATGGATTACGAGACAACGGGCCCTGGGCACAAGCATGTAAAAAGCCCCAAGACTGAAAGATTCTCTGTGTTTAAGTGTCTTTACAGTTGCTTTGCGGTAGCTTTTGAGTCTCCTTGTAGTTATTTTGCGCCTCTTTGTTATCATTGTGCATGTCTTTGTAGGGCATTTGTGTTTCTTTTAAGTAGTTTTGAGTGATTTTTGGTCGGTTGTGTCTGTTTGTTGTCGTTTTGCTTCACTTTGTAGTCATTTTGAGTCACTTTGTGTCCGTTTGTCATAATTTGATTGACTTTCCAAGAAGAAATGGTTTCAGTTACATGAAAACAGAGGTTCTTGCCCAGGGAACCCTTTACCCTTGGGATATTCGGCCTGTGCCTGCAAGGCCAGTTCAGTAATCCATCCATACCTACAAAGTTTCAAAACTATTTTGTGGTTGGCCCATATGGTTTCATAAACCAAATACCTATCAACACAGAGCAAATGGCCGTAATAATAACCGTCAAAAATAACCATTAATTCACATGAGATTCGAAATATAGACATGAGAAGACAAAGAAATGACAATTACAATCTACAGTTTTTTTGTGATAACAGATCTGTCCAGCGCCTACCTATCAGACCACACACAGTGCTTCTGCTACCTTTCAAGGCATTTCAATTATCTGCGTGTTTCCTTCTGTTTATCTACTTTTTTTGAAACTGTCCACAGTTTTTGAGAAAATACTTTTTTTCCCCACAGCCCAGCAGAGCATGCTTGCTTCTGATGACATGGGTACTTGGCCAACCCTGTTTGAACACATGGAGCCAAGATGGCTGCCTCTCACCCATGGGCAACCACCGTGAACAGGAGCTGTTGTTCAAACATTAATGCTGGTCTGACCTGAACGCTAAACATCTGCGTGTCTTCTTTTGGTGTTATTGCGTACATTCTCACCAACCAGCAAGTTAAGTTTTGCAAATCGGGCCATGTTCACGGATAATACAGAGGAAAGCCTTCACTCTATAGGTTGAACCTCGGGCTGTCTTTACTCCCTTCATTTACCAGCAGCCTGCGTATGATGTCTGTTTTCCAATTTCAGTTCTGACCCTGATAAGATACGCTGTGATTGTAGGCTCACATTGTTTCAATTGAGATCATCAATAAAGTCGGTATTATCATTAAAAAAGATTTTAATACTGATACTGAACCTCATTCAGTAAAATAAATACACTTTAAATGAAGCTACACTTTCATACAATTCCAAAAGAAAGTGAATATTTTCCTGCACTATTTTAAAAACAAGAGCATGAAAATGTGAACAATATGGGAGCTTTACTTGAGCAATATTGTGGCTCCGTAAACTCAAGGGTTAGTAAATGATCAATCCCCTTCAATAAACAAGTTAAAGGGTCAAAGCTACACCGTGAAAAAGCTACTGGAGCAAACATTGCCGATGACATCACTTTGAATCTCATGAACTATATATTGTCTCTCCTTGTGTTCGGTCAGGTCCGAGGTCATTTCGTATGTATGTGACATGAAATTAGGAAATTGGATTTTTGGACTTCATTTGATTGTTTTTAGGTCGTAACAGCTTCTTGCACTTTCTTGTTTGTTTCAATTTTGCACGGGGCTCTTTGGTTTTCTTTTCAATTGTTTTTAGGCAAAACTATTTTTTATACCTGACAACAATAATGTAAGGGAGATCAAATTTGATTTATAATAATTGAAAAATGATATGATTACATAAAATGTGGATATAGTTGAGCTGAGGGGATTTGGACTTCGGCACTTCTGAATTCCTGGCTACGGCCCTGTTTGTTCCTACTTCAGTGCCACATACCAAATACTTTGATAATTTGTATCCATATACAACATAAATTACTTCTAATACCAACCCTGACAATACATTCTCATTAGACAGAGTGGAATAACAGCCCTGGATGATGAGGCAGCCATCTTGTACCTTTTCAGACCTGCCTGGATCATGTAACAAACTTCAACTGTAACTTTTCAGACATGTCCTTGACCCAAGGCTTCTGATGACCCTTCTTATCTTGAGAGGGTGGCGTTGCCGTGGACATCAAGGTCAAGAAAAAGTCCCAAAAGAATGGGACAACAGACATTTTCAATTTAAATGCGCGTGATCAACGGCATCTCTGAGTGGACGCACAGTTCAGTACAAGCTCAGTTTGATAGTCCTGGGTCCACATTGTCACATGGACACACACAGCTGCCATTGGAGAGAGTTTCTGATAAGGGTTCTAGTAAAAGGCTACAAGAGGAAGAAGAAAGAGAAGAAGAGGAGGAAGAAGCAGAGTAGCAGTCGGGTGAGAAGTTGAAGTAGTAGACAAACTTGTTGTAGCAGAATAAATACTTGCAGTAGTTGGGAGGAGTCTTCTTGGATTTTAGAGGGGTTAGGGTGGGGTGGGGCTCCTACCATTTTCTTGTGAAGAAAATAAAACAGGATAGATGTTGCAACCCCTATCTTCTTAATCATTTGTGTTTTATCATAAAAACATTTTTTTTAAACATAATCCTACATTTGTTTTAATTTGTTGCATATAACATCATTTTTGTTAAGTTTTCACATTTAAATTCTCAATTTCTAGCCCTGTTATTCATGGGGGAGATCAGAATGGCTTGCAGAAGTCATGCAGAATATTCATGCTGGTAAACAATGTCATAAAAATGCATTTCTAATTTGCAATCATTGCCATTTTTTTTGTCCCTAGAATAGTTTCTCAAAGATGTTCTCCCGCTCCTGCTGAATACCTGCTTTCTTTAAAAAGCCTCTATATGTTCTCGCCCCGCATCCCCAGAGGTATAGAGTGTATGGTCTGCAGAAATCTCCTCCCCCCCCTTCCCTCTTTCCCTCAGAGTGGGAGGCGGCTCCTCCTCATCCATCGTGGCTTCAGAGAAAGCAGTTCGCTGCAGGAGATGCTGTTTTGCAAATATTAGCAGCCAGTTTGAGGGGGGAGGGGTGCTTAAAAAGTGGGTGATGATGAATTTGCATTGACATTGCTGCGTGAAAAAAAAAAAAAAAAGATGCTCTCTCTAATGGTCTCTCCGGCCGTTCTTCCCCCCACCCCCCTTTTTTTAATCCATCCATTGTGTTCTTGTCTTTCTTCTGGTTTTAATTGGTTTCGTTCATGCCATGCAGTTTCGTTAAAGAGGAGGAGCAGCAGCGATGCTGAGATGCAGGGGGGGGGATGGTCAAACACTCTAGAGGGAAAGAGAGAGTGAGAAAGAGGGTTAGTCACATCTTTGTTTTTTAGCCGGCAGATGTCACGGCCAGTTGTCTCGTCCGGTCCTTCCATCCATGTGTGTCTTTGGGTTAATTCCATCACCAGGTGGATGAAAACTGGCTCTTTGACGTTAGCTGAGATCTCGGTATTCAAACCGGTCAGTTGAACATGAAGACCCAAGATGTCAGCTGTCAGCTGTCTCCAGGAAGATTCTGATGATATCAAATACAGGATCATGTCAAATGTACATGTGATATGGCCGATGTTTTCTGATATGTATGAGTAGATTTCAGCCCGCTTGTTAGAGGTCCTGTAGCTCAGCAGAGATTAGCGCCGACACCGGATCGGACTCCGCCGGGAGCTGTTAGACATCACGATGAACCACCCGTCACCTTGCATAGTGCTTTGAGTGCCAAAATAATCAGGCATCCAACTGGAAATCAACAGCTGCGGATGAAGTTTGATAAAATAAAAAGAATAAAGCAACAACATAAGTTAAATAGAGGGCATCCTCGTCGCATGGTCTCCAAATCCACGTCTGTCATAGGGGAGCATCCATGCAGTGGTTTGCTCTGAAAATCAGTTCAAATGAGGCGGGATTCTTTTTTTTTTTTTTTCTTACTCCCATCTTTAAAAATAGCTTATATGTGATTGTGCCCTTGCTCTTCGTTGAGATCGACGGCAAGGTTGCATATGAATGTGTCACACGGATGATGAAAATGTTCAGGTCAGAGTGCGTCAGTGGTGATTTCCACCACTCGTCTTCTTTCTTTCTCTTTCTCTCTATCTCCCTCCCCGGTTTCTACAGTGAATCCCGTCGGGGGAGATGGAGGAGCAGCACTTTCAACGTATTACTGTTTTTCTCCTCTTCTCGTAGAGGATGGGGAGGGGGGGGGGGGGGGGGGGGGGTTTAGAAACTCAGCACTAAAAGGGAAGAAAGAAAAGAGAATTTACTGAGGGTTTGCAGTGAATAATTCATGACGTTGAACCTCATACACCAGACCATGGCACAGCGTTTGATAAAAGCCAATTCAATAATTAAAGACGTTTTTTGTGCGAGTGTACAACTCGAAATAGGTTCATCAAAACATTATAATTCATTAGAAAACACCATGTTGTAGATAAGAAATAGATATTTCAGATGGAGCATTTTGTAATGATTTCCAAACAGTTGTTTTGTTTCAGATTTTAACTGTAGGTTTATTTAGTAACATCCAGGTCTGGTGCAGTTAAAGGTCAAAGCCCATTTAACACATACTGTAAGGACGTGGAAGGATCCAGGTGGGTAAAGTATTGTTTTCTTTGTTTTCGTAATCATTCATAATGGCATCTGCTGAGCCAGTTGTACCAGCTGTTCGTAAAATTCCAGCTTAGCATAGTTCTAACGTATTTTATTAAGTGGAATTTTATGCATCACTAAATTAAAACTCATTAACTAGTTCTAACATATTAACATTTACACCGACAAAGCTAACGTTATGCTAAGATAAGTTAATATAGGATCCGTTCAGAGTGAGGAGTAAAAGAGTTAACACGGAGTACTCGTTGACATACCTTGATAATAATGACCTAAACCTTGAAGATTTTGAATTACAGTTCACAAAAATAGCACGACATATCTCAAATTACGAAACGTTATGCCAATAATGTTTGACTAAATGAGCTAAAAGTGTTGGTTTAGTTAACGTAAACTCGCAACTTGATGTAGTAAATCTGTTTGAAACTAGGTATCTACGAACTTAGGAAAGACCTTCAAACTTAGTGATGAATTTCTGAACATCTGGTGCAACTCAACACAGATCTATCAGAGTTGGCCAGGAGATTCAAGTACACGAAATGAGCAAAACTGACAATTATTTTACCCACCATCCAATACATTTACAGCTTGTTTTGATTTCCATTTCGTAAAAAATGATTTGATATCTTTCTGAGGTCCAGTGTGGACCACATTAGTTATAGACCTGTTTCCCAAAAGCATCAAGACGGGGAATGATCACTGTGTTGGAATACATCTCACATTTTGGCCTTTATGCAGTACTATCTTTTTCTGGAGCGTTCAACCACATGGCGGGATTAAACGAGTGATTCACAATCTGTTGGTTTCGGTCTGTGGCCCATTACAGGACGATCTGTATCTAGCTGGAGTCTACTCGTCACATATTTCAGATGTCTATGAGTTGTTAGAAGTTCCACCAAAAAGAGATTTCCCCTTTAAACTGTTCAGATGGTTTATTTGAATAACAAGCAAATATCAGAGAGAAGTCCTAAAAATATAATATAGTTGTGTGTAGGGGAATTACTCATCACCTTTAATCATCTCACAACCCCTTCGATTGGCCTGACCCCCAGATTCAACTACCTCTCTAGCTCCACCTTGACCAGCTACAACGGTAGAATGCTACTTTAAACTTACTTTGATGCATTACTAATAATGAACTGCTAATATATAATAATGTATTTATTAATATGGCTGTCAAGGACAATTTCTCGACAGAACTTGTACATTTACTTTTGATACTTTATGTACACTTTTCTGTTGCAGGACCTTTACTTGTAACAAAGTGTTGTTGTAATGGTACGTTCAGCAAAGAAAGTGCTCCTTTCATCACTGAAAGGTGATGATGACATCTGTAGATGGAGACAGTGAGATGTGGTCAAAAGCTACGGAAAAAGTTGATAAGTTGACCTTAAATTGAGATTTGAATTTTTTTTAAATATAAACTTAGCTGCAGCTTTTATTTCTATGTCTAATTCATGACATATGAGACACTGAATACAGAGCCTAGTGCTGGAACTGCAATCACTGGTTATCGCCCTTTCGCGTTGCAGCAAACAATTCTTTCTGTCTTTAACATCAACAAATTGAATCCCAAAGATGCTGTTGGGAAAGAGGCTGTGGGAGTTTCTTTCATCATAAATGAGGTTCATAGTGTTAGCCATTGTAGAAACCCTTCGTTCTTTAATACTGTGTTCCAAACAAAATCCTCTCAGGTCGTAGCAAGAATGTAGAAATTGAAAGACTTCTACGATGGCAGACCGTGTGTTCCTAACCCTAAACTGTAGTTTCCAGTGGTGCTCAGTATGAAATAGTTGTAACATCAGCAGTATAATACACCAAGGCAAGGAAATGATAGGGCCAAACACACTGGTGAAGCAAACAAAAGACACCACCACAAAGCTCGCCTAGCCCGGCCAACATGCAAGAACATCAAGAACACAGAGGTTGAACGTGACACACTCTAACGTTTCTCTCTCCGTCTCTGTAACTCACTCACACACACACACACACACACACACACACACACACACACAGATACAATCTGCAGAAGTCCTTGGGGGTGGGGGGGCTGCTCAGTCCTCTGATATAACAAATCTTTGGACGCTAATTAAGAAGCCTGATGAGACCGAAAGACATCGAGGTCACAGACTTAGCGAAATTAAAAAGATTTCAAAGCTCAAACCAGAGGACTGCAGCCAACCAGGACTGGGCATGAAATCCAGACCAAGAACTGAGAGTGGAGCATCTCAGCTGGTGTGTCCTGCACATGTACAGACCAGACCTTGGCCAAATCGTTTTTTGTTTCTTTTAGCTTTTTAAAAAAGTTTCATCCCACTTTGACCGGCAGACCACGCAGGGTTTTAGCTGCATCAGGTCTGCTCCTTTCTAATTCATTTCACTCCGGTGCAGTTTGCCCCGTTTGACAATTCCTCTGCATCTGTGTGGGATAAAACGAGCTGGTGATTGCGAAGGCTGTTTGACCCAGGTGTGGTACACACAAAAGACAATAAGGTAAGGAAACAAGAGTGCGGCACACAACACAGGGAACACACAGAACACAGAAACGAAAATGTCACAGCAACACTGAATCACGCACAGGTGAGGAAACACGACACAAGGAGCAAAGACAGTGCACAGGAACAACGGTGAGGTACACATTCTTACATGGAGAAGCGATTTCTGCTTCTTTTCTCTTTTTCCTCCTCATCATCATCACCATACTTTTCTGTCTTCCCCAAACTTTTTCCTCCTCCATCTCCTCCCTCTGACGCTGCTCGGCTGACAATCTCAGAACTCAGAACACATAATTTCACAGCACCCCCCCCCCCCCAATCTACATAGTCTTTTTTTTTTTTCATTCATTCAAATGTCCGTTCCTGTCTTCCTCCTCGGTGAAATCCAGTGTCTGGCCAAACCTTTCTCTTTTTTTTTTCAATGCGAAGGTGCTCCAATTTGACTCCCTTTTTGGTTTTCGCTGTGAGAGACTTCAGGGCGGTGGGGGGATGGATGGGGGCATAAAGTCTCTCAAAAAGAGGGACGCGGTTATCGGGAAAGGGCGGAGAGACGGGGCAGAAACCACACAAAGAGAAGACAGGAAGCACAGTTGGACAAGCATTTTTTTTAAAGGAGGGGGAAGAGCCACAAAACAGAGCACATGGAATTCACAGGGACAGAAGAGAGAGGACAACTTGACTTTTTTTGTTTGTTATCTCTCCCTTAATACATACAGTACATCTTAAAGGAAACATGGGTGGACAGGAACCATGGGGGCACAGAGGGGGAGATTGAGAAAGAGATACCTGAGTTGTGAATTGATGGAGAGGAGAGGAACATTGGAAAGGAAACGAGGGGCAGAAGCTTAAGAAATTCAAGAAGAAAAATAGTTTGAAATTTCGAAGGGTGCCTCTGCAGTGTGGTTTCTCACTAGGTAGTAAATGTGACTTCAAAGATCTTTTGGGGTAAAAAAAATAAAATAAATCAATGGTGCTATGCAGCACTAAAGCAGACTCAACAAGAACATTGGTCCTGCAAAACCCTGGGTTCAGAGACAATTCTTTTTATTTTCACAATATAAACTAAAATGGTAAGTCATTAAAAAGGTTTTCAATGATCTCGCGTTTTGACAGTTCTGTCAAATCAATCTGCCTGGTTTACACCTATGGACTTGTTTCAGCAGGAATTACACAGCACAATGGAAGTAATGATATTCCATGGGGTCTTTAAGGTCTTTGACCTGATGTTGCATTTGATACTGAATTGGCCAGAATATACAACGAGGCATTATGTTTGAAAAAGTGGGAGTTTGAGGATTAGACATGTATGCATTCGCAACATCCATTTCCTTTTTTAATGGAAGGTATTGAGTGCTGCAGGGATGAGTCCTAATACCTGGAAATGAGTTTTTCAGCATTTTTTGACTTGCAGTTCCCTCTTCTCAAAGTCAATGGGTTTTTGGGATAGATTCCTGAAATAATGGAGGAATTCCATTGGTTCCTTTGTATAGGGAACCAGTGCAATGCTGACTGATAGACAAGCCGCGTGATTTATATTCTGCTTTAATGGAAGTATTTCAGGTTTACAAGAGACTAGTCTGAAAAGTAAGCCAGAAAGGGTTTTGTGTCTTATAATCAAGGTCATCTTATATACGGTCCGATACTGCATTATGCTTACATGGTGAGTATTGTTAAATACATTTGCATTCAATCAGTTTAAATCAAACTTAAATAGAAACCGGGTTGGAGTGGGTTCACTCGAAAGGGGCCCGCAGCTCAGAGGTGCCCGAAGGAACCCTGGCAGGTTAATCTGGCCCTGTTTGTTTTTAGGATCTTGTGTTGAATCATTGCATTCTCACATTGCAGAGGTATCCTTCTTTTGAACTCACTGCACTTTAAATGCAAGTGTAGACAATAGAAGAGGACGGAAAGAAATGAAACATGAGGTGGGGCAGAATGAAGTCACAGACGGATAAGGAAGGAGCGGTCGAATGAGACAACAGAGAGGGGAGTTTAGGTGAGGAGGTATCTTGGGGAGGAGAACGGTCTCTCTCCTCTCTTGCAGAAGAGGAGTCGAGACAATGATGGAAGAAGCTGGATTTGTTTTTCATGTGTTAGCGTTAGTTCACAGTTACTGCTTCTTTTTGCATATATCTGATAAGCGCGGGGCTTTCAGAACAGTTCTCTGTGAAAAGAGAAGCAAAAAAAAAGAAGAAAAAAAATATATCATAAGCTACGATTGTTAATATGTTTCTCTTATCATAAGTCTCTCAAGTTTTGATAAGAAAGCAGCTATACAAGACCTACCAGAAATGTAACCCCGCCCCGTCCTGCAAAAATAAACTTTCCCACCCCCACCCGGCCCCGTTACAGTACCTAACTTGGTCTCTTCCGACCAATAGCATCATAGCATTTCGGCATGCATAATGTCAGCCCGTCCTCCCTCTTCTTGCATTCAAAGAGGTGAACATTTTTTTGTCCTGCATGCTTTGTTAGTGCATATGTATGCATCTTAACACACACATCCACACACTCTTAGTAGTCTAAACGATATATACACATTCATTAAGCTCCAGACTAAAATCTTATCAAACCTCCTCACATTATTAGTCATATCAGTATCCTTATTGCTTGCAATGGAAACCCATGCAGATTCATATACAACGCAAACTTTACATATGTACAATCACCGGGACAAAAGCAACCAATCAGCAGTGGCCTTTGGGGAAGCGGCAGACGCAACAACAAGTGAACGATGGGAAGGGAGAGGAGGATGAAGAGAAGATGAAATGTTCAGAAACGATAGACAGACTCAGTAGAGAAACTGGAGTGTGTGTTCACATCTATATGTGTGTGTGTGTGTGTGTGTGTGTGTGTGTGTGGTGTGCTAACAGGACTGGGGGTTAAAATGATTCTCCAACTAGCAAAAACTGGATAGTGATGCCCGGCATCAGCATGAGAATAATCAGGAAACAGAAAACCCTGCGTGACCACAAATCAGGGTCACATAATGTTAAAGAGCTGGCTCGACAACCCCCCCCCCCCGCTTATTCATATCCTTTGAGAGTGAGATGAGCCAGAGCTAAGGAGGCAATTACAGTAGCTTAGCATTATGAGGGGGGAAACAGCTAGCCTGGAACTAAAATGCATATCAACTCCTCTATAGCTCACTTTATTAACAAGCTCTCGCTAAAAGTTGTAAATTGTAAAAATTACAAATTGGGGATATGTGTGCTGTTACTATTTTTTTGGTGAGCACCAAAAAAAGCATATTTGTGTTCTATGCATGTTAAACAGAATGATATAATGTGTAGCTAGGCTAGCTATTTTTCCTCTGCTTCAAGTCTTGAATCTAAACTTGGCTCGTCGCTTCCTGGCTACAGCTCATAATTCCCCAAAATGTTGAACTGATTCTTTAAATCAACAGTGACAGAGTCTCCTCATGTGGGGCTCTTACCTTCCAATACTCCCAGCTTCAATGCAAAAAAAAGTAACAGGAAGGAGATACCTCAGTGCACAGAACCCTCCTCTGAAAAAGGAGTCTATGTTCACTCGGCGGTTAGTGATAGTGCTCTTATGGGAATCTAATGCAACTCAAAGGGCATGATTTGCATCCGACTGAAAGCTATCTGTTACTTTCTGGCGGGGGAGCAGGAAAGTGAGAGCACGAGATGAGTACAAGGGACTTAAACACTTAACCAACAGACACATAATTACTGTCTAAAACAAAGAACAAATCTGACATTGTTGTTCTTCAATAAATCAATAACATTTCTTGCAACATCAGAAAATTACAGTTTAAAACAAAAAGGAAACAACACATATTTAGGAAAAAAAAAAAAAGTACACTTAGTGACAGAAAGATGACATCATCATGTGATCACACAAAGCTTGTTAATTGAAAAATATCAAAACTAAACTGAAAGAATGATTTCTTCCTTTCTGTCTTGTGGAAGCAAAAAAAAAGTATTTTTCCAAGTTGTGCATCTTAGTAGAGAGGTAGATGCAGGTCCGGGCACGTACACACATACACACTCATGCCCACACAAACATCCACATGTGCTGCAGACACACCATAACTGAACAGAAACACCAAGGTCCAACCGCCACTGTCTCATTTATCTACATTGCATATTTCTATGTTTGTATGCTGTCTCTGTTGTCATGTTCTCTTGCTTCTGCCCTTGTGGTGTGTGTCGTCCACTCTTCCTCTACCACGGGCTGTCGCTCCAGTAGCCGTTCACAGTGCCTCCTACTGAGCAGCCGTAGCCGAAAAACATAGAAGAGGTGGACGGACAGAAAAGGATGGGGGAGGGGGAGGGGGGGTTGGGGGGTTTAGGAGGGGCAAAAACAGGGAAAGAAAGAGAAGCCAAAAACTAAAAATATTGCCACTGGCTGCTGAGTCACACTGGAGTCAGTGCAAGTAATAACGCTGTTGGTGGCAGTGGTGGTGGTGGTGATGGTTGTGGGATGAACTCAGACTTGAGGAAAATCACGCTTCTCACACTCGGGCTAAGCTGCAATGTCCAAAATCCTTTCCCAGATAAAGAGAAAGTCATTACCCTGCCACCATAAAGGAATAGTTCAACAACAATTTTGGAAATATGCTAATTTGCTTTTCTGTCTGAAAATGTTGTGAGAAGATGAAAGTCAATCTCTTGTCAGCACGTGGTTAGCCTAGCTTAGCATAAAGACTGGAAGCAGGGAGAAACAGCTAGCCTGGCTCTGTTAAAAAATACACCTACAAACTAAAAGTTGCTTTAAAATGATGACGTTGTAACAGGTTTGTTTACTCTTTAGACAAAGAAAAGGACTCTGTGGTGCATTTAGAACCCAAATAAAGACATATTGTAATGCTGGATTTCTGCTCTAAATGCACTAATACAACATCTATAGCAATAATAATGAAGAATCAAAATACTTTACAATGTGTTATTTTTTATGTTGAGTCTAATGGAATCTGAATCCAAATACAAACACCTCATTAAATATATCAATAAATATCTGTTACCTTTTTTCAACAAACAAACAAAGAGTTTATTTAGTTCTCATGAATGTTTAACTCATATCAATGAATAAAGAGATAGTTTAAAAGTATTTCTCTATTCATTTCCCTTCAGGTGTCATTCAGATCACCCAACCATTCCAATGAACACATTCTTTGGGGTAAAAGCCATAAATCTTTCATATGATATATGTAATACCATGTTCACTTTAAATACAGTTTAAACACAAATGATGTACTTTAACATATGATTAACAGATTGAAATGGGCCTTACACTGCCTCCTCGCCTCATGGGTCATGTCTAGATGGTAACCCTTGATTTGAGAAACTCTCGTGAGATGGTTGGGTTAAGGCATTGACATTGAGTAGTTGAGGCATTGACCGTGAGTAGTTGAGGCATTGACCTTGAGTCGTTGAGGCATTGACCTTGAGTAGTTGAGGTTAGACTTTGAGCATGACTTGGTGAGGGTAGGCGTTAGACATTGACTTTACAACGTTACGGTTTTTGCATTGACCTTGAATGGTAAAGGTTAGGATAGGTCGTCATCTTGTAAATGGAGGGTAACCGTCTAGCCACAACATTCTTGACGTTTGGCCATGCTTGCTGAAAAAGGGTGTGTGGCTTTAACTGCAGTCCACTTAAGACGATGTGGAACACTGTGATTGGCTTAAAGAAACCCAATCAAATATGTTTGTGCATTTGGTTGGAGCAACATGACAGTAATTATAGATCTATACTTAGAAAGGTTCTGTCCATTGGTATGGTCGGCTGATCCGAACAGGTGTCAGTTTTCTGTTGAAGCTATGTCTTGATAAACAAGAGTTTATCCATCCAAAGATGCCAAATAATAAGGTTGTTGAGCACATGTGGGCACTGTTTAAGGTATGATGGTAGCAAACCTGGCAACTTCATTGTGACAACAAAGTCACAGAAAGTGTGCACAGTCACTGCACCTGTGTGGTCTTCTTTGTACTTTTAGCATGTCAACATCACCTAAAACCACAAATTATCCTTTTTCTTTGTTAATTACTTTACTTATTTATTTCGGACAGAGCCTTTTTTGATCATTTTAAAACAACTTTTAGTTTGTAGGTGTATTTTTTAACAGAGCCTGACTAGGTGTTTCCTCCTGCTACCAGGCTTTATGCTAAGCAAGGATAACTGCATCCCGACTCCGGCTTAGTACTTTACGTGCAGACTCTGAGACTGCTCTCAATCTTCTCATCTCACTCTCTATAAGAAACCAAATCAACTTTCTTGGTACTGTTCCTTTAAACCTTAGCTAATGACTAAATGAAAGCAAAAGTAAAGATAATTAAATAGAAGAAGACATGAGAATGATCTTCCCTTTGTTCCTACTTTGCAGCTCATCCTTAATCCTTTTTGTACTGAAAGCCCGAGTGAGGACGCAAGGAGAGGAGGTAAAGAGTGACGGTCTGGTCCAGATCAGACCCTATTGCTCCTTCACCGAAAGTCTTTGTGAGGTTAAAAGTCAAAGTCTACACATGTTCACAGATATTTCTATTTCCTATAGCTGCTTTTGTCCATTTATTTTGCAAAATATGTTTCTAGCCCAGGCTTAGTGCTACCAACACTCTGCTCCCCTAACCTCCTATAATCCTCTCTGAAAGTGATTCTCAACATTTTGGGGATTTTTACCAATGTGGGTGCATTTTCACTGCAGATCAACACTATGTGCATAAACAGGTTGATAACATAGGCTGCGTCTACATCTGTATATTGAAATTGTTTTACTTTTAGGTCAGTAAATGTAACAAGTATCCAGTAATTCATGAGGAAAATGCAAAGATGTAAAAACAAATAAAATGTCATGTCATATTTGAGCTAATTTGCTACCTTTTTTTATCAACTCTTAACTGTTGTGTTTTTTTTGCAACCTCTCGGGGGTTCCAGGTTGGGAACTACTGTCCTATGACCTGCGACCAACCCTGACAGAGACACCTGTTCCCCAGCTGTCCACGGTATTAAAAATCATTTTTCATCAAGTCCTCCTGCAGTTCTCTGAGTGTTGTGTTTAGGGTCTAAGCAGAGTCTGAGGCCAGAGGAGGAAGCAGAAATAGAGAAGAGGACGGGATGCTGCAGCTTTCATACGTTGGTTATAGAGTTGATGTACGTAGAATCTAATTGAAGTCCCTCTCTCCCTGTACTAAAGGGATACACTGAGAACAAACTAACTACGTGTGCGTGTATGTGTAACAGAGGTCGTTTTGACTCAATGCACCACAACAGGCTTTTATCAAAAGGTGCGGAGGCGCTACAGTTTGGGGTATTTCATCTTTTTAGAGGTATGAATTTGACTTGAAGTATACAAAAATGTTGTTTTTTTACTACTTGAAGGTATACCATATGTTGTTATTCTAGAGATTCTCATGAGTAAAAACATGCATGCTGCAGTAATATGGTAGTGTCAATGTGTGTGTGTGTGTGTGTGTGTGTGTGTGTGTGTGTGCGCATTCTGAGGCTTAATACTAGTCCTTATTCATAGCTACTCTTAACTGTCAGTCTTAAAGCATTGAAGTGTGAGTGCAGTGTCGAGATACAGGCAAGAAGTAGCATAGGGAAAGCTAGAGGCACACTAACTCAACTACCACATCCATCTAAACTAACCTACTCTATCCCTGTTAGTAAGGCAGGTGTGCTCGTGTTTTTTCAAATACATTTGCTGAAGCGTCTATCTCAGCTTAATCGGCAAGTTTTAGATATGCTGTGGTTTTAAAATAGGACTTTCTGGTGCCTAGAAGAGGACCGCTAATTCCTTGTTGATTCTATCAAGAGGGAAATGTGAGTAATGGGAATGAAGGAGCAGCTAGGATGAATCAAATGTCCATGTTGATGCTTTCCTTGCATGTTCCCCAGAAAAAAAGGAAAAAAAGAAGAAAAACAACCCAAAACATTCAAAATTGTATTGTTGCTGTTGTTGTTGACATTTTGCTGTTTGTGTCTCCCTGTCGGCTATGCTACAAGATGGAGGGAATGGGGGAGCGGCATCGCCTGAGACCAGGCGGCTCGAAGGGCTCGAAGGTAGAGTTGGTGATGGGGGTGAGGCGCAGCGGGGCGCCCGTCATCCCGGAGATATTATTGAGGCTGCGCGACTTCTCATAACCCGTGGCTATACGTGAAGATGACAAGGCACAGGCAAGAGGGCAAAGGTCAGAGCGGAGTTATGAAGGGCCATTCAGAACAGCAAATGAAACAGTCAGCATGAATGTTTTCATGATATGGTAAAAAAAGAAGAAAAAAAAAGTGTGAATGTGCATGGAAATGACAGAAAGTAATGTTATGATATGTCCATTTATGTTATGACAGCATCACACATCAGAAATTGCAAATAGAAAACATTTGTTACAGTTACAAGCATTTGTAAATGAAACAAAGTCAAAAAAATAAAAGAAGAGATAAATAACTCAAAACAAAACCAGCCCAAACCAAGTAAAATAGTTTAGACCAAAGGAGGAAGTTAGAAAAAGACAGATAGACAGACGGACGGATGGACGGAGGGACAAACAGATGGACAGACAGGACAGAGACAGGACAAAACAGGAATATTGGTTACGAAAATCAGCTATCAGTTGCCACAATATCCCTCAGACACCAAGAGGTGGTGCTCTGCGGCACCGACACCAACTGTGTAGGGGAGGGCGGATGCACTAGTCCAGTGGATGGACACAAACCCCTCTGATCTGAATATATCCCATGAGATTTTCATACTTGTACATCCACTGGACTACCTGCTCTGGGATTCCCAAAAGCACATCGGTGGTGGTACACTTTATTGAGCAACATGAAACACAGCAGGACTCGGTGGTTTATTGATTTGTTTTTTTTGTTTTTTGGGAAACTCAGAGCAACTCGGGTGGGTAAATCATCTGGAGCTGAGCACAGTTAGCAGTACACACAATCACTCGAAGTTAACACTGCAATCTCTACACTTTACTGGGGACATTTTGACCTCAGAGTCCAGGTGTTTTAGCCAGTCTACCGGCAAGAACAACAGGCTGCTGTTAACAGGGAAACAGTCAAGTTAGACAGACAGACAGACAGACAGACTGACAGACTGACTGAAGAAAATACTCTTCTCCAAAGTCAGGGTCAGGTATATGTTTTTCTTCATTTAGGGGATCAAATTCAACATGTTTAAAAAAAAAAGTCTCCAGCCATGCTAGCAGCAATGTGAGGCTGTATTTGGCCGCAGCGGTGCTTTTAGCTAAATGCTAAAATCAGCATGTTTAGCAGCCATAATGTTCACCATGTTCACCATCTTTGTTTAACATGTTAGCATGCTAATCATTGCAAATGATCACTGTACACAAAGTACAGCTGACGCTGATGGGAACAGGTTGACGTAGCAGAAGGCTGCAGTTAGGTGACGTTTCAAAATGTTGGGTGGATCTTCTTGAAGAATGTGCTGAAACTTTACATATGTAATGTATACATTTCCTAGATCTGATCACAACATTCATTCCTAACTTTTGAAGAAAAAGCACATCTTTGATATATACGACTCCAAAGTCCACATGATGTTTTTAATATAGCCTGATGGATACTAGGTGTTTTAGGACAATATGATAAAGAGAATTGAAAGTTTTAAAAAATCCCTTAGATATACGTATATTGCTGTCATTGTTTTTACATTATTGTTAATCATTAACAAACACTTTCGAAAAGGTTCATTTAAAAGAGCATTCCAGCAATTCTGTATATAACTTAAGTTGAGAGACTCATAAGAGAACAATTAAACAAAAGAAATAGACCAAAAGATTTGACTTTAGGTCCCTATTATGGGTCATGCTGTGGAAACACTACATTTACCATAATGCAGGCTTGAATGCCTTCTTCATTCACACTGGGTATCGATGACAATCTATTCAATTTAACTCTATTTTAATATACTATATATATTATATACTTGAATCTTAATTCCTGTTTTAGTTGTAAGCAATTTGTTGCTGCATTAAAAAGATTGTAATCCATGTTCATTTTAAAGATGTTTTTAAAATTGCTGGTGCACGATTTATTATTTGTTGCCCCCACGCATAAAAGAACGATCCCTCTCACTCTCACACAGTGAGGCATACAGCTTATTAATCAAACACTGGTACTCGGTACCAAAACTCCAGGTATCAGTGTTGGGACTGAAAAAGTCAGATCAGTGCGTCCCTACATATATGATATATATTATTATATATCATATATATTATATAAATATACCTTTGACACCATGTTATGGTCTATTGAGGCTATGGTCTGTTGTTGAATATTGCAACAAATTGCGGCTTCATCAATTTATCCATTCGGACAAACAGCTGACATTTAGTGTGCTGATGTTGGAGCTGGCTTGTTGTAATTTCTGGCTTTAGCACCCACTTGCAAAAACTCATGTTGTCCTTGGCCAAGTCATGGGAAAAGATGACAGTAAAGTACTAAAGGGCATCCTTACCTTGCACCCTCATCACAATGGCTACAACAACAAACAACTAAAAAACGATACCTACATAACCCACCAACACGCGATATAGCAGAGGTTTGAATTACTCATCAACACTTCTACGGAAGGATTTGTCCTTGTGAGGCTAGTTCTGCAGAAACTAAAGTTGGATGTTAAAGAGGAAGGGAGGCCCTCATCTGAGACCAGCATGTAAGTACAAACCTAGCCTTTGTAAAACGTCCTGCTTAGAGACCTTTCTGGAAGAGGATTGGTTTAGAGGTTGGTTAGCTGTTTTGTTTTTCTTTGATGATATACTTTTAGGTATCAAATCTCACCTTCTGTAGGCCTGAAAGATGGTAGTATGAAGGTGTCAGTTAATGGAGAACAGTGGCTGTGGCTATTCAAGGTTCATTTTAGGGGCGATCCAAAATCGCTGTCTATTCGATGATCCGATCTAGGGGCCTGGTTCGACTGCCAATTTCACTGTAAAATTGTCGCAGTAGTGAAAAAATATGGTTATAAAACAAAGGATCGTCCCATTCGGAATACATGGGGTTGCTGAATGTCTGATTTCACAAAGAATTGTTTGGTTTATCCCAATAAATTGTGATATATAGCCTATTTTGGTTGTGTTGGCTGTTGCGTCTCTCTTCTTGGATGCCTCTATGACAGGACAGCACTGAAGGCCCAGGTATAAAATGCACGGCCCGCCACTATACATTAGTATGGTACAGTACATGCATGTGTTCTAGAACATCCTTCTGAAATGAATGGCCAATGCTTTTATGTACATTACAGCTTCATACATGATGTGTGTTTCTGTGTGTGCATTTGTGCATGTTCACTGTGTAGCAGCACACACTGCTCTGTTTAAATAGCCGTGTTTACGATGTCAAGTCCTGTAACCACAGGAATAAATCAGCAGCACTGCGGCTCTTAGCTGATTGGGACGCACACACAAACACTGGTGGAGCAGCAGTAGTGTCAGTTTATCAATAACCAACAGCAGCAGCAATTCGTAGAGACCTGTAATCCCTGATCAGGGACTGCTATCATCAGAGATCTTGTGAATATGATTCTGATTAGAGCGCAGATCTGCTTGATCAACATCTCGTCGAGAAACAAAAGCAAAGCAGGTCAGCATTTACACGGCTCAGTGCTTTAAAGATTGTAATGCAGGGACTGCTTCTACTGTGACTCTCACTGTATACGAAGTGGAGTTGAGAAGTGCTTAGCATCTATAATGAGTGGCTGACTGCAGTTTTCTCTGCAGCAGATGCAGCATGAGGCAGCCTCAGCTCTGCCGCGCTCAAGACCTTTGAAGCTATTTCGTCTTGTGTTACCCCGCTGCATTGATTGATCAACATTTCTTAATTCATTTCTCTAGTCATTTACTGCACTGTAGGATACTAGTGCTAGCAGTAGTAATTGTTACTTCTGAACCCCGAGGGTAATAGTACTAAATATGGATTTCAGTATGATATTAATACATATGTAAAGCCTGACGTATTCAGAATATTACGTGCACTATACAATCTTGCTTTGACAATTACGGAAGCAGAAATATCCTCACTGGTTGAGTCAAAGAGGTACTCCATTTGGCAAATTGATGGAGCTATTGGTCAAGCTGCAATAAGATCCTTCGAGAATGATCCTACAATTCCCATAATGCATAAATTGCATCTTTCACCAGAGCCTTGGCCGTTCAAAACCCCCCCCCAGTTTGTAACAAAGTTGCCCTGTGTGTTCTGTGTCTTTGTTTCTTTCTGTAGCGCCTCACTCTCCTAATCAGTTCATTCAGTGCACCTGCCAGTCACACTCACCTCATCAGCTCATTACTCTCACCTGCTCACTCTGCCTCCTTCACTATTTAAACCCTTGCCACACACACCCACTGCCAGATCATTGTTTGTTTTCCTACCAACCCGCCCGTTTTGCTCGTCCTGTTCCCGGGTTTCCAGTCTGCCTGTTCTTCCCCCTCGTCTTTTGTCTTGTCCCTGGATTCCCTGTTTGTTTTTGGTTATCATTAAAACCTTTTTCACTACAGCTGACTGTCGCGTTTGAGTCCTCACCATGCCCCGTGACAGAATGATCTGGCCCAAGATGGACTCAGCAGACCATGGTATGGAGTGTCGTCTCCCCGACTGGTATGAACAGTTCATGGGAACCCGTCTGGCCTTTGGAGAACCTCGAAGTGTCCAGAAGGCAGACCGTGACCTAATGGACATCCCGGTCAAACCTCGAAGGAGACAGAGGCAGAGGAAGGGCCAGACTCCCTCTCCCGCTGGGCCGCAGTTATCCCCCGCTCCCGCTGGGCCACAGCCGACTCCAGCTCCCCGTGTCAGGTCGGCGGTTCGACCGACTCCAGCGCCCTGTGTCCGGTCGGCGATCCAGCTGTCGCCTCAGAGCAGCAGCTATCCCCGGACCCGGCCGCCGCCGCCTTGGAGCAGCAGCTATCCCCGGATCCGGCCCCCGCCGTCTCCGAACCGCAGCGACCTCCAGTCCCGGCCCCCGCCGTCTCCGAACCGCAGCGACCTCCAGTCCCGGCCGCCGCCGTCTCCGAACCGCAGCGACCTCCAGTCCCGGCCGCTGCCGTCTCCGAACCGCAGCGACCTCCAGACCGCAGCGACCTCCCGTCCCGGCCGCCCGCCGCCGTCTCCGGACCGCAGCGACCTCCCGTCCCGGCCGCCCGCCGCCGTCTCCGGACCGCAGCGACCTCCCGTCCCGGCCGCCGCCGTCTCCGGACCGCAGCGCCCTCCAGTCTCGGCCGCCTCCGCACTGCAATGACCCCCGGCCGCTGCCGTCTCCGAACAGCAGCGATCTCCAGTCCTTTACCCCGCTGGGTCATCAGTCTATCCCCCTGAGCCCCAGTCTATGGACTCCGGTTGCCCGGGGCCCCATCTCCAGCCCCTGGAGACCTGTTCCCCGTCCGATCTCCAGCCCCTGGAGACCTGTTCCCCGTCCGATCTCCAGCCCCTGGAGACATGTTCCCCGTCCGGGTCCCCAGCCCCTGGAGTGCAGTTCCCCGTCCGGGTCCCCAGCCCCTGGAGTGCAGTTCCCCGTCCGGGTCCCCAGCCCCTGGAGTGCAGTTCCCCGTCCGGGTCCCCAGTCCCTCCAGTGCAGTTCCCCTCCTGGTCCCCAGTCCCTCCAGTGCAGGTCCCCTCCTGGTCCCCAGTCTCCCCAGTCTGGCCGTCCCTCCTCCGGACCACCTCCACCCACCCGGTTGTGAACTCTGACTCTCGGCCTCGGAGGAGTTCCTCCAGCTGTCGCCTCAGAGCAGCAGCTATCCCCGGACCCGGCCGCCGCCGCCTCGGAGCAGCAGCGACCTCCGGACCCGGCCGCCGCCGTCTCCGGACCGCAGCGACCTCCGGACCCGGCCGCCGCCGTCTCCGGACCGCAGCGACCTCCGGACCCGGCCGGCGCCGTCTCCGGACCGCAGCGACCTCCCACCCCGGCCGCCGCCGTCTCCGGACCGCAGCGACCTGCCGCCCGCCGCCGTCTCCGGACCGCAGCGACCTCCCGCCCCGGCCGCCCGCCAGCTCCGGACCGCAGCGACCTCCAGTCTCTGCCGCCTCCGCGCTGCAACGACCTCCGGCCGCCGCCGTCTCCGAACAGCAGCGATCTCCAGTCCCGGCTGCTGCCGCCTCCACGCTGCAACAACCTCCAGCCCTTTACCCCGCTGGGTCATCAGTCTATCCCCCTGAGCCCTAGTCTATGGACTCCGGTTGCCCGGAGCCCCATCTCCAGCCCCTGGAGACCTGTTCCCCGTCCGGTCTCCAGCCCCTGGAGACCTGGTTCCCCGTCCGGTCTCCAGCCCCTGGAGACCTGGTCCCCGTCCGGTCTCCAGCCCCTGGAGACCTGTTCCCCGTCCGGGTCCCCAGTGCAGGTCCCCGTCCGGGTCCCCAGTCTCCCCAGTCTGGCCGTCCCTCCTCCGGACCCCCTCCACCCACCCGGTTGTGAACTTTGACTGGAAGATGTTCATTTTTTTTTTTTTTGGTCGGAAGAGTCCCCTCGGGGGGGGGGGGGGGGGGTACTGTCACGATCAGGCTTTGCCCTGTGTGTTCTGTGTCTTTGTTTCTTTCTGTAGCTCCTCACTCTCCTAATCAGTTCATTCAGTGCACCTGCCAGTCACACTCACCTCATCAGCTCATTACTCTCACCTGCTCACTCTGCCTCCTTCACTATTTAAACCCCTGCCGCACACACCCACTGCCAGATCATTATTTGTTTTCCTTCCTACCCACCCGTTTTGCTCGTTCTGTTCCCGGTTTTCCAGTCTGCCTTTTCCTGCCGGATTTTCCCCCTCGTCTTTTGTCTTGTCCCTGGATTCCCTGTTTGTTTATCATTAAAACCTTTTTCACTACTGCTGACTGTCTGCTTTTGAGTCCTCACCATGCCCCGTGACACAAAGGCTATCTTTTAATCCAAGAGGACACTATACAACTGTTTCCACAGACTGTGATCTTACTGTGTGGCCCTTTAAGACTTTAAGAAAAGTAAATTAATTATGAGAGCCAGTGGGAAATGGCAAGAAAAGAGGGAGTAAATATAAATACCTCGTGCAATTGATACGGCTAGTTGTTTTATTCATCTTCTAAATTCAAACTGCTAGGGCTATTGAACTTACAGCTTGATTAAGTCAACCAATAAGACAAATTCTGAACACTTCTATATCTTACAAAGTCAAACATTTGATTCCTGAAGCAAGAAGCTAAGTGGAAGAAGCGAGTGCTCACAGAGTGGCGGTGCATCCGTAAGCTGTGCTGCGATTGGTTAGCTCGTTGTACGTACCTCCACTCAGTCAGACTTTAGAAACACAACGCAGGGGGAGAGACTGAGGAGGATAGCCTGAGGATGGGATGGATACACCAGAGTTAGAATGGGATGGGGAGACACGAGGGGGAAGAAGGAAAGGGAGGAACAAGGGATGATGGGGAGGAAGAGGAGTGAGAGGAGGTTGAAGCAGAGGGGAGATAATGGTGTAGGATGAGCTTTGTTTTGAGACTCTGAGGGTCCCAGGACAGAGGGTGCTGTTTAAGCCCTTTGAGGCAACTTTGTGATTTGTAGTGTTGGGTTTTATAATTACATGCTCACAAAATAATTGCTTTGTCAGCATAACTAACCAGTAGTCAGTTATGAAGGAAGATTTGATGTAAAATGCCTAAACACAGCTGTTTGGTTTATTGTATTCAAACTGTACTGTATAGGGTGAGCCAAATTTACAATATCTTGCAAATTAGGTCATACAATATTTAAAAATACAACTGACACATGTGCTATCACAACACACTGATGTATGGATATCATTAAGCTCAATAACCCTGCTGTGCCTGAGTACAGTTTCACAGAGTCATCTCCTGAAACAGCCGACCACAGTATAGTTTACAGCAAATGTTATTCAAACGGAAGGAAATAGTGCATTTGTTGGGAACTGTTTTTAGCGGCTTTAGTGAGAATTTGGGGCAGAACAGTGTTAACTGCATGTGCGTGGTACACAACAAGTTTCAAGCTTTTTGACAACAAGAATACAGAATATCACCAGACTTTTTAAATACTTATTCAGACTATGTGGAGACCCACTGATAGATACAACAGAACAAACCACATCACGTCTATTTTTGTCGGTTCCTCTAACTGCCACGTTTGCCAGCAGTGTAAAGAATCATTTTACTTCCAAAAATGACAAATAGTGATTGATATACTGTAGAATTGTGTCTATGATCTGTGATGATGTAATGGATTAATCCTCCAAGGAAAGGGGGAGAAAAGGAGAGCATGTGGAAGTGGAAAGTGATATAAGGGTGGTGGTGAAAAGAGGAGTGCAGGGAGGCCAAGGAGGAAGAAAGGGGCGAGGAAAGGTACAAAGAAGTGAACAACCGGGGCAAATATTATCCCGACAACCATCCGTATGCAAAGATATACATCAACATGTTTACTGCAAAATGCTCATTACTTTCAGCTATTTGGAAATAAGCAGAGGTTTTGTTTTTTTTTTTACTTATTATTAAACACAATATGGTCACACACAAATGTGAACCAGACATTTAATTTCATCATACGAAACCACATGCGGATTTTAGATTGTCAAGAAATAATATTTGCATCAAATACAGACATAAAAATGCAATATGACATTACCAATGCACTGAACCTCAGGGTTAAAATATACATACATACATATAAGGTGTATGTATGTGGCATATGACATGGCTCATTTATAAGTGAGGTAAGAAAGAGGACAAAGAGAAACAACACACACACACAGGAGTAGAACATAGGAGAGAAAAGAAAGCATACATAGAGTCTCATTGCTATCTCATAAGAAGAGAGAGATGCACATGCAGATCATTACTACGGATGGAGCAGGCAGTAGAACTGGAACAGATAATATGAAAGATCTAAAAATGGTGGTCCTGTTTACCCAAATAAAGAACTTTAGCTAGTCTTCACACAATGAAAAACAAGGCCAAGTTATGACATTGCTGAAATGTGGGGACGGACAGAAAATGACCTACTATATAAAGGTGAATGAAGCACAAAGGGACACAGGACTTTCACCCAGGAGACCACAGTTCGTCTCCTGTGGGAGCCCACCCTGGATGCTCTCAGAGGTAAGGGTAACAAAAGTCGCTCTTAGTAGAATTTGGGGCAGTTTACACTCCACTAACCCAGTTCATCTGCCATATGTTAGTTGGCACCATGTGAGCGTTATCTCCTCTAACCTTCAAGGAAAAACATACAGTTTGCAAACACGTATAAGTATCATACTTACAACACTAGGACTGACAAACTCTACAGTGCGACACAATGCTGTTTCTGTACTTCAGTGTCTTCTACATGGATCATCAGGATGTCGATGTTTGGCCTGGGCAACACATTCTCATGCCCAACTCATCAAAAGATTGAGGTTTCGGTTAAAATGAGTATGTTTGTTGTGTAATATAAGTATGCTTGATAGTTATGTAACTGGCGGAAGTAGTTACGCCAGTAACTTGTCATGTAAGTTTTGTCACTTACATGACAAAGCTATGGTAAAGTAAATCAACATTGACTTGGACTTGAACATCAGCCTCCTGTGTGGAAGTCCTGTGTTTGGGACACAGCCTTATCTTGAGTGCCATCAAGTGCATATTTGAGAGACTCATAACAAGTCTTTTTAAAACGAGAAAGCTGGAAACATAAAATAAAAAATCAGCTGAAGCCACATTTTTGCTCCAACTTGTGGAGCTAATGTTAGCTTAGCTAGCCGCAGCTTTTTAATTTCTGCCGACAAAATTCACGTCGCCGTCTACAATCGAGAAACTTATTCTGTCTACCTCGATCTGAACCCAGTGTTTTAAAATTTGTTTTTCAATTTCGATTTTGATAGTAAATGGTCCATTGTGAGTTGCGCCAATGAGCACTGTGCCAGGGCTCATCTACTAGTTTATAATTGTTCGCCAGAAACTTCTGTCGAGTATCGTACGACTTGCAGTATTTCTGTATTGGCTTGTGTCTGTATCCGGTGAGTGTGCTTTATCAAAGTGACGAATGTGCTTCTTAACTTGCTGGTGTTTTTCTATTCTCATTGAACTATTTGTTTGTGATTCCTTAAGTAGCACAGCCACAATAGAAGTCTTACGTGTGGTAATTTGTGTGAAACATCCTGGATTACCACTCTATAATAGGTTCAAGTTAAGCAACGTATCCAACACTAATGCAGACTATCACAATATTACTGAGGACAATTCTCCGGTTACCTCTAAATGTAAATAGGGTTTTGAATTTACAATTGCCGCTCTATGATCATAATCAATACAATCGATGAGCTCACACTTTCCTGGGTCAACATGATTCTCCTCCTGACACCGCTAAAGGCTTGACTGCACTCAGGAAATAAAATAATGTGAGTGCAATCCAAGAGGCCTCGGGGGATTCTGACCACCGATAGTGATTAAATACTAACCCGAGGGCCATCCATCACCGGTTGGTGGAAAGGAAAGTGAAAGTAAAAGAGCCTGTGTGTTAATGAGAGATGAACAGAATGAAAGCTGGTGGAAAGAGATTATATTTAAGGTGGTATATGAAAACCGCATGTTGGCGGTAGAGAGGGAGTGAGAAAGAGGGAGGAGGGGGCTCTCCACTCTGTTATGGCACAGCATATCTCCTTACATCAGCGGGCCTCTAAGTAAGACTCATGAGTCAGTTCAGGCCAACGATATCTGTCTGTCAGTTAAGAGGATCAATGCTTTCTTTCTACTGAGAACAAGGTGGAGAAGGACGAGAAGAAAAAGACAGAGAAAGAGAAGAAAAAGGGGGAGACAGGACGGTAGACGGGGAGAGAAGATGAAATACAAAGCAACAGAGGGATTAAGGCAATATTTCATTCTTCTATTCGACCTCGACTCGCTGATTGGGTTTCCCAATGAGGGGGGGAGACGTGTACAGTATCATAATGCCTTTCAGAGTAATGCAGTCGGGATGAGAGTGCTGTGTGCAGTCTTGGCCTTTGCGAGGCGCTAGCGGCACTGCACCAACGTTTGCTCCAGAGCTCCCTCTCTGCAGCTTATATATTGAAATATCTTTTTCGGCCACTAAGGAATTCAGTTAGCATCACTTCAGTTCTGAGCTCTTCACACTGGCTCCCCGTCTGTCAAAGAATTGATTTACAAACACTAGCATTGGTTTATAAAGCACTGAATTGTTTATTTCTGATATTTCTGAGACATTATGAACTATTCACACATCTGGTTCAGGTCTGCTTTTTGTCCACAGAGTCAGAACTACACACGGAGAATCAACGATCAGTTTTTATGCTTCATGCATCTGGAACAAACTCCCAGAAAACTGCTACTCTCACTTCTCATTATTTCACATTTTCTCTCGATGCCTTTGATGTAAAGCACTTTAAATTGTGTTGTTACTGAATGTGGGTACTTTGTCAAACAGGTTCTTCTATATTACCCACAGTTGATATGCTCAGGCTTGGATTTCCCACTATGAGTAATCACTTAT